TTAAAATCTACAACCAGTCCACATTAACTGAGATTTTCATAGACAATCTGGATAGGTCTGACTGAAGCGGTTGAAAGGCTGAAAGCAGAAGGGAGGCTTTTCTGAGAAGGAAGAAATTCTGCCTCAGCAGAAACTGACAGCAACTTCAGTTTGTGCCTGTGATTTCCAGCCTGTCCTACAGGACAGCCCGCCCTCTGGCCTTCAAATTTGTGCAGCCAGCCCCACAACCATGTAAGCCAACTCTTGCAATAGATCTCATAATAAATATATTTTACTAGTTCTGCTTCCCTGGGTTAAATCCTGATTGATACACCCGTGAAATATTTATTTTTTTCTTTTTGCATTAAATCTAACTGACTGCACCTTGACATAGAAGGTAGACACTTCTCCTAACGGTTCTCTGTATTATGAGTTGAGTGGAGCTAATTATTTTCACAGTAGATGTGAACATGCTTTTAATTCAACATTTTCCTCCATTTTACTATATCTTACCTTTCCATTTCAAAAGGAACTATTAGATGTAGATTCAATGACAACCTTCCTTTGTAAATCAAACTTCTATTGTAACTTAAAAATAAATATATTTAGCTTTTGCATATAAGTGAAAAGGAAAATAAAACCCTTGTGTCTAGTTGGCAAAAATTGAAACTCATATAAAAATGAATGATATTTTCTAAAGATTTAAAAGTAGGTTTTAGAAAGGTTTTAGATTTTAGAGATGTACAGTATGAAATCATTCCATCAAAACAGAAGCAAACATTGTCACTGATTTGCCAGTGACAACACAATTTCAAATGACTTAGCAGGAAAATTTTTATAACTCTCCTAGACAGAATGTCTTAAAACTGTCTCTTAATACTAATGGTCTTTTGCCAAGTTTCATTTCATCCTTAATTGCTCTGAGAACTCCAAAAACCAGAATACAGTTATACACATACACGCTTTGAGAGCTAATTTGAAAATAAAAACCCAAAGGAAGTAGGATTGAAACTAAACTCAGATTTTAATTGAACAGAAAGTATTATTCATGACAATTTTTTTCCTAAGATAAATGAAGTAGTCCTTTAAAAAAACTCCACTTTTAGAAATGTTAAACATTTATTCATTTTCTTATTGGTAGCTTTTTTCCTGACTGTAATAAGAATATGCACAAATAATTGTACATTTTGAATATTACAACCCAAAATTCAGAGTGATTTTTCCATATAGGTTAGGTACCATTGTAAAATAAATTAATTTTAATTACAAAGGACTAGTACCAATTAATATCTAAGAACTGTATTACCATTTACTTGTAATAACAAACATGTGCTTTGACATTTTCATTTATTATTATAAAAATTGAGTTTTCAATGAAGACTATGGTTGTGAAAATCTGAATTAAACAGTCCTTTAAACATTAAAAATCATGGAAGAATAAAATGTCAAGCAAGTGGACATTTTTCCTGTGATATATACATAAATATTTTCATGTAAACAAAAGCAAATATTAAGTATCCTTGTCAGCAACTGAAATACATAGATTTAAATGGTTGTTTTATTTTTTCATGCTTCCATTGAACACAACTGGTGTAAGCAGAGCAATAGGAATTGGATGAATCTTTGCATTCCCCTTACTCTTCAGGAGGTTACATATAATAAAGATACCTCTCAACTAGAAAAGAAAATATGACAGGAATCAGACTCCTTAAAAGGCATCACTTTCAATTGTGAAGTCACCTTTTCACTCTACTTTGAAACTATATGTTTTATCAGAACTGTGCCAGTTGAAAGATGATAAAGCTGACTCTGGAGTGATCCAGCACTCACACAGGTGGCCGCAAATTAGGCACAATGATACACAGACTTTCTTCTCAGTGTGGATTACCCATGCACTGAGAGATAACAGCTTCCAACACAAATCATTTTTTGGAAAATACAGACAATTTTTAAGTGGATATATTTCCCACAGGTGTGTTTCTTGAAGTATGCCCCAAAGACCATCTAAACCAGAATCAGACCAAATACTCAATAAGACAGAAGTGGGCCTTAGTGGGCCCAATGCCCCTCTGGGGGCCCTGGTGACCTGTATTTATTGTTAACAAGCTCCCCTGGGAAGACTTATATGCAAATGAATATTTGAAAGTTTGCATATCACTATTTCAGATTATTAAGGATTTCTTTTGACTCTTTGTTTTGACCACAAACACTTCATTATCTTTTTTCTGCTTCTTACTTATTAGCCTGAAGGAAAAAGAAAAACATTTCTGATGATGTCAGCCAGTGATGGTAACTCATAGTGGCATTTTTTTCCATCAAGAAAATATAGAATAGGCAATATATGATACTACACCTAAATTGTTCAAAGGTACACTATAGTACTTTTTTTTTTAAGCTTTCAAAATGTATATGTGGATCAAGACAATCCAGTGTAAAGAGAACTGCTGTTCCATGTGGGTGCTGAACTCACAAAGGCCCCTCTTGGTCATCTTTCACAAACAGTGAGCCTCTTAGCAGGCACTCCAGAGCTACTCCCAATGCTGCACTACCTACCAGCAGCCCTGAATTTACTGAAGGATTGCTCATAGAAGCAGGACCACGGAAACAAAGCTGGCTCAACTCCAACCATGAACGGTGTCTCAAGATCTGCTGCCGACATGTAAGATGAGTACAGATCATGCTGACTTTCCTCAGATAAAGTCTAATTTCAGACAGACGACTTCATATCTGCCTGAAATCTAGCTTATATTGAAAATGGAAAGCATGATACACTTGAATGTGCTACTAATATCTACTACAGTGTTTATGCTCTGTAAGATCCCCAATGGATAAAAGCAATTTTACCTGTGAATAATATAAATAAGGAACCAAAGAGGTAGGTGAGTGTCATCAGAAGATGATCTCAAACCGTGTTGAATAACATGCTTGAGTCCCCAAGGAGAAGTTAACTGGAAAACGAGTCCCAGTAACAAGGCCACTGCCTCAAGAACAGCGTTTCTCAAGTCTTTCATGATGACATCCACCTCCCAAACTCCTAACCCCTGTCATGGTGCCACGTGCTCTTCAGACATCCAATTTTAAGAGACATCTAAAGAAGTAAAATGTAAAAAAAAAATAATACTGGAGACCAAAGAGTGATGCTGATGTCAGCTGGGCTTTTCAAAAAATCTCTACTGTCGCATTATAATTGGAAAAGATCTTGAAGATTCATCTAGTCCAACCTTCTGGCTATACAGCTAAAGAAACAGAGGCTGGCTTCCCACTGGTGACAAGGCACGACAATTCTAAAAACGTGCTGTAGACCCAAAGAGGGTTCATGGTTAACTTGACTATAAAGTCCATGGTGTAGCCAACAGGCTACACTTTCAGCACTGACGGCCTTAGTCTGAAGCCCCATCTCGGGGGCCGTCTATTTCCCGGAATTGGAGATAGAAGGGCACCGAAGGCCCCAGATACACGTGGGGCAGTGGAGAGAGGCAGATTATCAGCAAGAGAAGAAGAATTTGAAACCCTAGACCTGCCCCAATGAAAACTTGCTCAAGGCTCAGACCAGGGTTTCTGTTCACCTCTAAGCATTCACATTCTTCAACAGCCAGCTCTGCTCTGGGCAAGCACCGGGGCAACCACACGGCATTCTGTCCAGAACACTGAGAAATATAGCTGGACAACTGGAAACATCTAAACCTACAGGGCAAAGACCTAAAGACAGCTGTATTTAACTTCTTGATAACTGTCACTTGTTTTGCAAATCAAAAATTTGCCTTATTTCCTTATACCCTTATCTAAGATTTTTAAGTTCCACTTTATAAAGGAGGTTATGAATGATTTTATTTTTTTCCTTTCTATTTTTCAGACTTTCTGTCATGTAATTCCTTTTGGTAATTTAAAAAAAAAAGCTATTTTTTTTAAAAAAGAAGTTTTCAGTCTAAAAGAAAACAAATGGAAGAATACACATAGGTCCCTCTTGGTCATGGAACTTGCAAATCTGAAGGAGGTGTCTGTGCGGTATGGCAGAACAGCAGTCTCAGGACGCAGATGGATTTTCTGACCTCTCTACCGCTAACCCTGGGTAGGGTTTAAGTCTCTTTGAGACTTGCCTTCTTCGTCTGCAAAAGGAAGAAATAATAGCCTCCCTCACAGCACACTGTGAGGATAAGATGTTGCACGGTGCCTGACACCCGGTAGATGCCTAACAAATGGAGACCCTTCTCCCACTGAACTCGGAGAATCTGTGAGTAGAAGGGACCGCCACAGCCCCCAGCAGCCGCAGCCTCTCTGCATTTCACTTACATTTTCGAGGGTGCTCCATCTTCTCAATTCTGCCCTATTTCTCTAAAGATTCACTATTGTGCTTGGCAAAAGTTCTACATTTTTATGTTCTCTCCTTTAAAACTGCACATGCAGATAAAACATTTTTTTAAAAAAAAACTATCTTCCTAGAAATAATGTAACATTTCCTAAAGCACAACATGTCATGTATAAAAGCAATTCTGAAAAACATGACTGAATTAGTCTGTACCTTGTTTCTTAAAGTGCACCAAAGTAAATATTAATGACCTTTAAAATGTCACTCACCCCCTTGGGTTATTTTTGTTAAATAAAACTATCTACTGAGATGTATGTGGTTTTTGGCTCCAACGTGATGGCAAAAAGCAGCAGTGTCTTCCAGGAAAAAAAAAAAAAATTTGATAAACTCAACTAAGCATATCTTAGCAGCATACAATATACCTAAAATTCAATGTAACTTCAGGCTCAATAAAGCACAATCCTGATTCCTACTACAAAAACAACATCAACTGAAGTTATAGAAAACCATCTCCCCACCCTAAATCAAAGATTTCTCTTGAACCCTGGAGGTAACACTTGGGATCACTTCCCTATTGTGTATCCCTGGTAACAGACTTATAACTAATCACCATTCTTTCTTCACATTGCACACATACACATATATACATACCCTAAGAAAATTCAAAGTCAGATAAAGAACAGCCATCACCCAAAATGTCAGGCAGTTCCAATATTCACACCACCGTCCGATGCTCCCCACACACATAGACAGCACTGGGGCGTATGCGTCGCCGTGTGTGACCAGGGAGCCGCGGCAAAAGCTTGAAGGACTTAGGCATCATGTCCAAGCAGGCATCGTGGAATTTCTTAATCCTCCAGTAGTAAATCAGTGGGTTCAACGCAGACTTGAGGTAGCAGAGCCAGAGTAGCCAGGTGCTGATCTCAAAAAAGTTGTGCTGATAGTAAAAGCGCTTGCTGAACGTTGCCACAAGGCTGTAAGTGGTGAACGGGGCCCAGCAGACGATGAAGACAGCGAAGAGAATCAAGATGGTTGTGAAGGCACGCGTTTTAAAGCCCATGTCAATGCTCATCTGGAAGGGTCTCTGCAGACTCATGAGACCCAGTTTGCTGGCCTGGCTGAGGCATATACCTTCAGGGTAGCTGTGGATCCTCAAGGCATTATGCCGAAGAGTATTGAGGATGCCCATAAACGAATACAGGATCACCAGGAAGGGCAGGAAGAAAGAAATGAGAGAAATCAAAATCACATAAGCCTGGTAACCCGGATCGGTTGTGTACCCGAACACGCACTGGGGGGCTCGGGAAGGTATCTGCAGGTCAGGGTTCCCTACTGCCAAAGGAAAAGCTACACAAAAGGAAGCTGCCCAAGAAACTGCAATGAGAACCTTAGCCCTGTATGGATTTAGTTTATCCTGCCTCTGGACTATAATAAGAAACCTATCAATGCTAATGATGAGCAGGATGGCTACTCCCTCTATCACAAACAACCAGAAAAACATAGCAGATACCCTACAGAAGAATTTCCCGAAAATCCATCTGGTGGTAAGAATAGTGACCAAGGCAAAAGGCATGTTCAGCACTGCAAGCAACATGTCTGCAAAGGCCAGGCTGGCCAGGAGGATGTTAATGGCAGAGCGCATGGCGGCTTTTTGGTAAACCATGAGGCAAACAACCAAGTTACCAAGAAAAGACACACACAGAATAAATATCATCAGAGCAGAAAGGATGATCTGGAGAGGCAAGTTGAGGCTCTTGGAAGCTGCTGGTGTTGGGGACACAGCTGTACTATTCATTGTTAGGGAACTCATCCCAGTGGGAGCCAGGGTTTCAACACTGTATCTCAGCAGCGGAGCATCTCCAGGGAGCTGGAATGGTGGAGGGACCGTAATATTCACGTAGGTGTTTTCATAGACTACGAACGTTGTGTTGGATGCCCCAGTATGGGACGCTGTCAACACTGCAGAGACGACCATGGTTTCAACAGGATGGAAGCTGGCGTTGTCAGAGATGGGAGTGTTCTTCAAGCATTTTAACACAGAGCAGCAGGATCAGGTTTCACTGATGAGCCTGGAAACATATTCTGGAAACGGGAGAAAGATGTCCATCTTCCATAGGAGTCCTTTTGCCTGAAAACAAGTCCAAAACACAAAAAAATAAATGGGAGTGAGTTTTGTACATATCATTTGACTCCTTACTCTTCATCCTGAAGGACCCGTTTTACTTTTTTTAACTCTTTAAAAATATTTAAGTTTCCAGACTAGTCATCACTAAAATATTGTTCTGTTTTTAGTCAACTATAATGGAAACTTTGTGACTTACATATATAATAAATATAATATTTTATATTTATTAATATTATGTATATTTATTTTTATTATATATATTTATAATATATATAAATATATAATTAAAATAAATATTTATATTTATTATATACATAATAAATATAATAAATAAAAAGAATAAAAATGTATTACTGCCTCAAAGGCCAAAAGTATCACCTTACAGTTAATTTTTCTTTCAAATTTACAGGAGCAGCATAGCCTTTTCACAGTTACTATTAATACAGATTTTATTACCTGTTTGTCCTGAGAGTATTAATACTTTTCTTGATAGCTCTTTGGTACAGAGCTATCATATTCCATTCTTCATATTTCATCATTCCATATTTCATATTCCATTCTTACACTAGCCCAAAGCTAGTTGGCAAAGAACCCTGAAATCAGTTTCCTATTTAATACCTGATAATCAAACACTTTTGCTTTCACAGCTTCACAAGTAGACACGACCCTTATTTTCATTGAGGGTCTGAAGCAGTTTTCTGGCTCCCTATTTCATTTGTGTTTTTCCCCAGAATCTTACCACTCTATTGAAGAAGTTATTCAAGAAAAGAAGAAAAATTATCTGTAAAACATCTTGGTCATATTTTGAAGACTTCCTTTCTTTTTCCAAAGCTCTCTTTGATCCTCATATTGTCTCTTCCTTCCCATGCCCACCCATTTCCATCCTTTATTTTCTGATACAAATACTTCGATCTTCTCAATTTCTTCTTCCCAAGATCGACCTTACTGTAATGCCAGGAACTTGACAAACATGTCAACCAAGAAACAAAGGATTCTAAAGAAGATGACTGGGAAAATATTCAGGTGTGAAGAATGCACTCTAGAAAACTTACAAAGACATTTCACTTTCTTGCTCCAAAAAGCTTCTTATCACCTTTCTCTTCTCCTTACCCCGTACTTCTTAACAATTCCTGTAACACTTGAGTTTTCTACAAACAACTTTCTTAATCCATTAACTTCCTAACCTACTTTTGTGATGTAGGTTTTTCCTTCCTTACTGGAGAGGTAACTTTAACCCCTCTAATTAGAAAGAAACTCTCACTGGATGTCTGTGTAGACTCCTTTAATAAATCCAAAGATTGAGGATGGGGGAATTACACAGTAGTTTGCATGCATGTGTGTGTGCTAAGTCACTTTAGCCATATCTGACTCTTTGCAATTCAATGGACTGTGGCCTCACAGGCTTCTCCAGGCAAGAATACTGGAGTGGGTTGCCATGCCCTTCCCCAGAGGATCTTCCCAACCCAGGGTCAGACCTGTGTCTCTTGTGTCTCCTGAATTGGCAGGCAGGTTCTTTTCCACTAAAACCACCTGGGAAGTGCCACATTAATTGTTTAAGATGATGCCATAATTTTCTCATTATTTGAACTTACAATTACTGAATGATTTTAGGAGTAAGTGCCAGAAGTCCATTTATTCATTTCTTATAGTATAGAGGGTAGAAGCATGTCATTTGTGAGACCCAAGATCCAGCACTTTAACCAAATCATGGGCTCTCTAACATATTCCTATCTCTCCATAATCCCCAATTTGCTGTCCAGGATTAACCATATGAATAAGGAGAATACTCACCTATTTGTTCAAAATATTAACTTTATTATATACTTTCAATGTTATGGGCTTCACTGGTAGCTCAGATGGTAAAGAACCTGCCTACAATGCAGGAGACCTGGTTCAATTCCTGGGTTGGGAAGACCCTCCAGACAAGGGGATGGCAACCCACTCCAATATTCTTGCCTGGAGAATCCCAGGGACAGAGGAGCCTGGCAGGGCTCAGCCCACAGAGTTGCAGAGAGTCCAACACAACTAAGTGACTAGCACTTCACTTCACTGTTATAATTTCTTTGTCTCTACAAAAAAGGGTATATTTTCTAAGGAAAACATACCTGGATAAGATGCCCCACTAAGCCGGTGACTCTCAAACATTATTAACCACAGAGGACTGTGGGAAAAATCTCTTTATAACTATATAATCAGCACAAATCTCTTTATAATTTCACAAATATACATACAAATAAGCATAAAGACTGTGCTTATTGCATACATCAGTCTCAATATGATTCTATCTCTAGAGAAACAGCATAAATGTGTATCTTGGGCAAATGTGTATCTTTAAGCCTAAAGTAACAGCTGTAACTGCTTGACTAGGAAAGCAAACATATCCATCCTGAAGGAGCACACACTTAGCTTTCTAAAACTCTTATTTTCTTGACCATGCTGAGAACAAAATCAAAATGGAACAGAGCCAAAACAAAAACATATTGTAAAAGATGCCTTTTAGGTTTTTCTATGTGCATATACAGTCACAATATTTTACTGCTGTTGTAAAAACTTCTAACTCAATTCCCTCAATTATTCATCCATCAAATATTTATTTCAGAGCCTACTATGAGCCTGCCTGCCTCCTGAGACACCTGTAAGTAGGTCAAGAAACAACAGTTAGAACTGGACAGGGAACAATGTACTGGTTCCAAATTGGGAAACGAGTACATCAAGGCTCTATGTTGTCACCCTAGCTTATTTAACTTCCATGCAGAGTACATCATGCAAAATGCTGGTCTGGATGAAGCACAAACTGGAATCAAGACTGCCAGGAGAAATATCAATAACCTCAGATATGCAGATAACACCACCCTTATGGCAGAAAGCGAAGAGGAACTAAAGAGCCTCTTTACAAAGGTAAAATAGAGTGAAAAATCTGGCTTAAAACTCAGCATTCAAAAAACAAAGATCAAGGCATCCGGTCCCATCACTTCATGGGAAATAGAAGGGGAAACAATGGAAACAGTGACAGACTTTATTTTCTTGGGCTCCAAAATCACTGCAAACAGTGACTGCAGCCACAAAATTAAAAGACGCTTGCTCCTTGGAAGAAAAGCTATGACAAACCTAGACAGTGTATTAAAAAGCAGAGACATTACTTTGCCAACCAAGGTCCGTCTAGTCGAAGCTGTGATTTTTCCAGTAGTCATGTATGGATGTGACAGCTGGATCAAAAAGGAGGCTGAACACTGAAGAACTGATGCTTTGGAATTGTGGTGTTGGAGAAGACTCTTGAGTGTCCCTTGGACAGCAAGGAGATCAAACCAGTCAAGCCTAAAGGAATAAATGCAGATGTCCTGATCAGAAAAGACCCTGATGTTGGGAAAGAATGAAGGCAGGAGGAGAAGGGGACAAGAGTGGAAGAGATGGTTGGATGGCCTCACTGACTCAACGGACATGACTTTGAGCAACCTCCGGGAGATGGTGAAAAGACAGGGAAGCCTGGCGTGCTGCAGTCCGTGGCATCGCAAAGAGGACACAACTGAGTGACTGAGCAATACAAATGAGTGAAGCACTGCAGAAACACTGATGGACAACTGGTTCCTGAATTTCTGCTTAAACCAGACAGATGAACCATAGGCCCTGCTTCTCAAAATTACACTGCAATGACAACATGGGGTTATTTTTTAAACAAAATTCACAACCCAAAAGGACAAGTATGAATGAAAGAAGCATCAATTGATAAGAGTTTTTGTCAATGTTTTAAAGCACAGGCAGATGGTGGTGTGGTAACTGAACAGAGCAGAACAAAGAACTTTTTATCCTCAATACTTCCTGAGAAATACACTTAGAAGAAGCTGAAAAACCCTGTAGGTCCTCAGAGAAGCTGTAGATTAGGAGATACCAGGAAGTACTTTAAGTTTGGTTGGGCAGAAAACGAGGAAATTGACTGGAAAATCTATATACAGAGCTGTTGGAACCCGACTCTAGGTTTGGGGCTCATCTTCTCCAGCAACCAAATGAAAGAACATATCCCCATGGCAGCAGCCCAAGTCGCTGGCACGACAGAGCCCAATAAGCACAAAACTTCAGCATCTCAGTGCACGGCTGAACAGAGCAGGACTGGGTGGGTGTCTGCACATTCAGCGTAAGAACCTAGCCCCCTTCTCCACCCTGTTCCCAGACAGCCAGCAGCCAGGCATATACCACTATGCAGGACTGAAGCACTCATCTTTGCCAGTAATTAAAAAGCCCCAGAGGAAAAAATACCTCTAGATACTAACCTTTCACGGTGCCCCAAGAAAAATGCCAGCTTGGTGCCCAGTTACCTTGTATACTAAAGCCCACCTACTACCAAGCCCGACCCATGCACACAGAACTTCCAATCAGCTTTTCAGTGCCCATTAAATATAAAAGTTGAATTTCCCAAATATATAAAGAGTCTATGAAAGGCTTACATAAAAGCAATGTTATAGGTAAACATTGAGGAATATCTGAAATTTCTAATATCAGAGAACATAACATACATGAACTGAATAATTCTTTTGCCCTTTATGCTCTTCCTTCATTGTACTCCTGGCTGAAAAAGTAGGACTTCTGAATACTCATTTTAACTATGTCAAAAGATTCTTTCCTCTTAGAAATTCTTACCAAGTACATTGTGACCTGTAGTTTCTTTGTATTTCACAGAAGACTAAATCAAAGTTTTAAACATAAAATTTGCATTTCCAGAGGAAATGGAACAGTAGCAACATAAGAACAGTAGAAAATTAGCTTAGGTTGGTAATACTTGCTTAGCAGTCCTAATGTTTCATCTAAACTAGTCTTTATTTGCCTTTTGTTGGGTACTCTTATTAGATATTCCAAGA